GCTGATACAAAGAAGATATCTAAGGTGTTCTGCTAAACTAATTAATGCGGAAGCCATACACCTCACCTGCAGGCGACGAATGTGGTCACATTCATCCTGCTTAACAGGGTATTTTCACATCTACTGGAATAGTTATAAAATATTCTCCGGTATTGGAGATAGTAACTATATAGGCTAGGTGGGAGTATTTCATTTTATTTAGCAACAGGGACTCGTGAAGCAAGATAATTTGGGCCCCGGCTTACAATGATCAAGAAAGGGAGGGAGAACACCCATACATAACCTCAAATGTTAAAATGTTATTTCTGAGGGAAGTTAAATCAGGGCTTGTGACTCGTGAAAATGAGAAACCCAATTTTGGTTCGGCGGTTGCGCTCATAACCGCTAGACAAGCCGTGGCGTTTGATGGGTCAGTCCCCTGTTGTAGTGCGTCAGCGCTACACTGTTTTAGTTATCCTAGTTCCCTTAGAGGGGCGACCCCAACTGCTGGTTAGTTTGCCAAATATTAAGTTCGCAATCATACTTTTTGGAAAACTAACCCCTAATTGGGCCCAAGCCTCTAATGGATTGACGCTGAACAGGCATAGAAAATGGTGGAAAACTACATTCCGGTTNATTGGGCCCAAGCCTCTAATGGATTGACGCTGAACAGGCATAGAAAATGGTGGAAAACTACATTCCGGTTTCGATGGGACCGTTGTCCCGGAAGATCCCTTCACGCTGTCAAGCATATCAAGGGTATCACTAACGTGGTCGCTGAAGCACGCTCCAGAGCCTTACAGGTCAGGCACAGTATTGTGTGCCGATTCTCCTTTTATTTCCGAATTGCGTTATTCTCATTCGTTAGATACTCGTGCGGCTCTGGTCCTAGCTAAGCCTAAGAATGGGCGACGGGTCAAGCACTACAGCAGCGATTGCCACCTCCTGTGGTACCAAACGAAGCTTGGGGTCCGCACATTGGACGTTCCAGCCTCGCTTCGCACGGAACGTTTGCGCAAAATTCATGATCATGCGTTAGCAGGTCATGGTGTGATCAATACAACGGCGGAGCATGTTGCCAGGTCCTTCTGGTGGCCTAGTATGCGCCCCTCAGTCGAGGAATATTTTCTCTCTTGTCCGGACTGCCAGCCTCGGGATACTCTCAAACCCGAAATCCTGCAAAGTCCGCCAACTCCCGACATGTTATGGACGGACATATCAGTGGATTTCATAGTGGGCTTACCACTCGGAGACGCTACAGGAAACGTGAATTCTACTTGAAATTGCCCGGAAATCGCACACCATAGTGGGTTTGGGAGGATCGCTTAACCGAAGCGATCCCCCCCGAAAAGCTACGAGCTCTACTTGACCCCACAACACGAACAGCCAGTGTGCGCGTGCACGTTGTGCGAGGAAGTGGGCAACGGAACGTTAGTTAGCAACGGGTCTCGTGTTAGGTCTCAGCAAATCTCCCTACTTCTATACTCATGTGTCCATGACAGCTAACTGCCTGTCCTCACTACTTTTGTCTTCTTCTTTGAACACAGTCAGCTGGGGCGGACGCATCAGACATGTACGCTCGTGTGTTGGGGCTCGGCACCACATCTGGGGCTTTACCGGGAGCCCCAGTCGGCGAGAGGGGAAGGTCAGTTCTGCAAGCAGACGAAAAGGAACGCGCAGCCACATATGCAAGGCAGTGGCCTTAGCACGCGACGAATAAGCGAATGTTCCGGAAGCGGTCTCACCAAAGCTTGACAGGCACTGATGACCGGGTCGGGACGGTATCGCGGTTTCTCGCTACGGTGGTGATCGAATGCCGAGATTGAACTATGACCGCTTCCTGAGTATTGATTGGCCCCCTGTATCGTAACCTCTAAATGCCAGGAAGAGCGTGCAACTTCTTACGCCCTGCGTTGCATGCCCGTTGTTTTGGTTGTCACCGCTGGGTCAGAGAGGGCATACAGTGTTCCTGAAGAACAGCTTCGCGCATACTACCCTCCGAAACCCACGTCAATTGATCGTTTGGTTTTTCGTGGTCTTTGCGAATTTTCACGCACGCGTCCAGGATCTCAGTTTCCTCCATTTGGTCATCTTCTTCATGACGTTGCTGCCACTTTTTGGGGATAGTGCAAGAGAATTTCGGCATATTCCTAGACCGTTCTAGAAAACCGAAATTAATGGTATGATGACATTCCTCCGGTTGGAGTAAGTTTACGACGCAGCCCAACGCGTCTACCGTCGAACGAACAGCGAGGCTCCCCCTCAACGCATGGCAGACTTTCGCCCCCTTCTGCACACTTTGGAGAGCGCGCGAGTCCACTGAAAGCAGGTTGCCTATATTGAAAGGCAGTGCTGAATGCTGTTTGCATAGTTTGTTGCCTCCTGTCGTTGTGCGTTCTTCAAACATTTCCATGCAGCTGCACGCTGTGTAGGGAAACTGAAGCTGTGAAAAAACGGAACAGGCCTCCAATAGCCAGGTCTCACGCGGGGTCAGACACCGGTCATTCAGTATAGACCAGTGNAAACGGAACAGGCCTCCAATAGCCAGGTCTCACGCGGGGTCAGACACCGGTCATTCAGTATAGACCAGTGCTGCCGCGGAAAGCCATCGATCTCCCATAGATGATGATCAATGAATCACTGCGCCGGCTCGTGTGTTGTAGGGGAAGTCGAACGGCTGATGAAGTGGGCGTGCAGGTTGCGTTTATCCGCGGTAACATGGTACTAATCGCAGCTTCTGAGTGACGGAAACGACTAATGAAATCCATTGGCATATCCGTCAGATTCGTTCGGGCGTCGGGAGACTCTGTGACATTTCTGGTTTGACGGTGTTCCTCGGTTGATGCTGCTGACATCCCGGCCAAGTGATAACACCTTCCTCCCCTCAGGAGCGCATCCTAGGCCACCGCGGGGATCTAGCAACTCGATCAATTGTTGTGGTGACCCATCCAGAGTCCGCTAAAGCATGGTCGTGCATTTTTCTCTAAACGTCTGGGTGGAGCAAAGCTGGAAAGCATAATTGGGGGAGTCGATGCTTCGCTCGGCACCGGAAGAGGTCACCGTCTACGCTATAAGGCTTGGCCCGTCGCCCGTTGTTGAGCATAGCAAGAACCGCGGCTGCGCGCGTATCTAAGGAGTAAGAACTCAATTGGGTGTTAAGACCCGCTCGCTTGTGTCGCGTCAGCAGAAGTGAGTTAAGTGGCGGCTGCCAGGTCTTAGGGAAGCCCCTTGGGGGCCCGTCGATAGTCTAGATTATATATATGTAGCTGTTTAGTTTACCCTGTGCTACATATTCGCCTTGAGTTTTTTAATTATTATTTATTGAATTCTTAATCATTAAACACGACGCTAAACCCTAAACCCTAGGCATCATCGAACTCATCTCAGGTGATTGTGGGGCAAGCTGGTTCTCTACAGGAGAGTGGCAGCTGTTGTGAGGCCTACAGCCTCGCCGCGCTAAACCCTAACCCCTCGCCGTGGTGGTTCGAAGTTGACCCACCCCAGGTAACCCCCAACCCGAGCATCCTAGACCCTCCGCCCAAAACCCTTAACCGTAAACCCTAAACCCTAAACACTTAGCCCGCTAAGCAATTAACCCTCTAAACCGTAACTACCCACGGCGTGGGACAGTGGGGAGCTGCCGAGAGTGCAAAACTGTAGACACCCGCGGGAGCGTTTTGAGACATAAGAGAGAGAAGAGATGGAGAAGTAGACGGGACAGAAAAGACGGAGGAAACGGAAGAGATAGAAGGGACGGACAGAAGAGACANTGTCGTGTAGTTTGTTTGTCTACTGCTTGTCTGCGTGAGAGACAAACAAATGAAATTTTTTGGTTTAGGCACCTTGCGCTTGTCTCAACGCCAAACTGCCGTTCAGGTTCAAGAAATTGAACATGAAGTGCAGGTTGCCGCGATACTGCTGCTACTGCTGCTGCTGGTGCCGCAGCAGAAACAAAAGCAGAAGCAGCAGCATTACCTCATCTTAACAAACTGCAAATATCTGGCTAGAACAGCAAGCTGCTGAAGCCTTGTATGTTTCCTTTAGATGCAAAAGCAAAAGCACGAGCAGCTGATTTTGGTTCTTATTTGGTATATTATAAATTAATATTTACAAATGATAACTTCTGCTATATGTGGCTAGTGCAGTCATATTATATGTTATATAATATTGATATAACATTTTAATTAATAAAAATCAATATTTGAACATAATAACCTTTATTATGTAATGTAATATGCAACTAATATGGTCGTCTTAGTCATAAACTCTTTGACAGAATATAAGTTAATATTCATAAATAACTTATATTATGTAACAAATGATTAATATCAGCATACGAATCTAAACTTAATATATTATGTATGATTAATATGTTTATATTAATCATAATACATAATATGTTAGATATATATTACATTACATATAGCAAACAAATATCCACAAGCATATATATATATATATATATATATATATATATATATATATATATATATATATTTGCTACGATTGTAGACAGAACATAACTGTCTACTTAGAGGAAATAATACATTAACCATATATTGCATTGCAGAACATAAACTAACATTTTAAGTACTAAATCATATAATGTATTATAATATTTTATTGTATCACCATTGACAACTAAAACACATATAATATAATCTACGCGGTCCATATAAAAAACCTGTCTCCCTAAAGAGGCCTTATATCTTCTTCCCCTGGTGTTTATTCGTCTTTGGGTTGCTTCTGCCGTCTCCTCCTTTTCGGGTGTCTGCTGAGCTGCTGCCATTGTTTAATGGTTTAACTTCTGAGACCGAGAATGAAACAGATAAAATAGGAGTATAAGAATACCTTCCTCGTCGCTTTATGCGTATCTCTTATTTACTCGCGCGCCTAATTTGGAGCAGCACGAGATGATTGCATATGTCTCGTGCTTGCAACAAATATCCATGGGCCTGCTTTTGCTGTTGCTGCTGTTACGGCTGCTGTCCGTGCCGCTATCGTTGTTTTTGCGGCAGATACTACTGCTGCTCTTCCTGCTGCTCTTCCTGCTGCTCTTCCTGCTGCTGCTCTTCCTGCTGGTACTGCTCTTGCTGCTCCTCCTCCTGCTGCTGTTGCTGTTGCTGCTGCTCTTCCTGCTGCATCTGCTGGTCCTCCTGCTGTTGCCCTTGGAGCGGCTGCGGCTGCACCTGCTGGTGCAGCTCCAGCATCTCCTGCTGCAGGTGCAGAAGCAGCAGCTGCTGCTGCTGCCACTCCTCGTCATCCGCCCGGAAATGCGCCCATGGTCCTCTCCGCAGAGTCGGCACCGCCGGTGTACATAGAATGATTTGTTTAAGAGGAACGAGATAAGCTGCAGGCGGTCTGAACCCTCTTCTATAGAATTCAAGTCCATTCTGCAGCAGCCTGGCTAACAGCACATTTTGTTCTGCTGTGCTGCGGACAGCAGCAGAGTGAGAGGGGTGTGTATACACCGGAAGAGTTTCTAATGCTTTTTCCCACCATTCGTCCTTCTTTGCTTTCTCTCCCAATACTTTGGCTACAACAAACATTGCATCCGTTATTAGCAGAGCTATGGCGAGCTTCTCTACAACATACTTAGGGCTTAGATGGTTGATGACCTCCTTCTTCCGATGCACTGTATGCTCGGCTAGCTGCTCAAGAGACTCCAGTAGGTGATGGAGGTCGAACGAGTTTAATACTGGCTTCTTCAAGATATTTTTAATATCTATGAGAGCACCCGTGTCGCTTAGGGTCCGACGGGATGATAACAACCACTTCCTCTGCTTAAATTGCCGAGTAAGGATGGCATCACTGGCTACAAGAGGAACTCTGTAGAAGGGGTGGTGGCTTACGTTCTGCGTCCGCAGTTGTTGCTGCGGCGTCGGCTGTTGCTCCTGCTGCTCTTCTTGCCCTTCTGGGTAAGGAAGAGGCACAGAGACTATTAGTAACGCCGGCTGCCCCTGAGGTAGAATAGCGACAGACGAAGCACAACAAACCAACGAGCTGTACAGGCACCGCAACCCATATTATAATGGATACATATGTTGCTATGCAGAAGAAGAATAGAAAGTAGAACAAGAACTCGAAAAAGAAGAAGACGAGCAAGAAGAACAGGAAAAACGGCAACAAANGAATAGAAAGTAGAACAAGAACTCGAAAAAGAAGAAGACGAGCAAGAAGAACAGGAAAAACGGCAACAAATATGAAAACAAGAAGAACAAGAAGAACAAAAGGAACGGGGACACAAACGAGAACAGGAACGCGAACAATAAAGAGGAAAAGAAGGATAAAAGGAACAACGAAAAAAAGAAGAACCGGAAGAAGAACTGGAACAGGAGCAGGAACAAGAGCAAGAACAAGCAGAGCGAGAAAAAGAATAGTAATAACACTAAAAATAACAAGAACAAGAGGAAAGCGAGCAGTTTACAGATATCTGCTGGCCCTGCAGCACTTGTACAAATCTGTGGCTCAGACCTCTCACCCCATCCAATACAACACTAAACACAGTTTATTCATTTACGTTTTCTTTGTTATGCTTATTTGTTTATTTATTTATTTGCCTATTTGTTCTTTAGTTTATTGATTTCTTTATCTACTTCTTTGCTTTTTTGTTTTGGCGTGCTGTGTGTGGGTGTTCCTGCTTGTTCACGTTTGTTTCCTGGTTAGTTTGTTTGTCTGTCTATTTGTTTATGTGTTTGTTTATGCGTTTGTTTGTTTGTTTGTCTATTGTTTATGCTCTAACAGGGTCCCTAATCCCTTTTTCTTTTATTTCTATTTATACACTTCACTTTTTTTTCTCTTCTGTTCATAATAACTAAACTACTCGTCAATCCATCGGCATTTCCTTTTCCTTTTCCAGCTGTGATAGTGCAACAAGTCATCAGTTACTACATCGTTCTTTATTATTTCTGCTTATAAAACTACTCATAAACCCATAATCACTTGTTTAGTATTTCTACGAATTATAAAAGTAAAACGAATCATAAATCCTTACATCATGGGTTGTTACTTCTTTGCTGCCAACAACATACGAGGCACCGGTAAGAGGTATACGGACGGTGTATTCGAGTTGCCTCGGTGTATGTTTTCTTTTTTTTTTTTTCTTCTTTCTTTCTCCTTCTTTGCCTTCTTCTTCTTTTTCTTCTTCTTCAGGCGGACAGCCAATGGGGTTTACTAGGATCGTTCCTTGAGGATGATGACGAGGATCTAAGGAAAATGCTGCTGCTGCACTCGATAAGAATTCTCTTTCTGCTTTTTTCATCGCTCTCTGCCGCTGCAGCCTCTGCCGCTGCTGAGCAGTAAGACCACTAGAAGGCCCCTCATCACCTGAGTCTGCAGAAGATGTATCTTCTTCTCCTTCTTCTCCTTTTTCTTTTTCTTTTTCTTTTTCTTCTCTTGTTTTGTGTGCTGCTCCTTCATCAGGCCAAAGCGATCTGACAGCAACGGGAGGCCCAAAGCTTTCGAACAAATCTATGAAGTTTATTCCTTCTTCCTCATCCTCTTCTTCTGTTTCTTCTTTCTTTTTCCTTCTCCTCACCGTCTTCTCCCCCTTTCTTCTTCTTTTTCTTCGTTCTCGTGCGGGCTGACTCTCGTCTAGACCTGTGAGTGATGTCAGCCATCTATCGTAATCTAATTCTTCTTCTG